ACCACACACACACCACCACCACCACGTTTTTTTTTTCCTCTTATCTGTGTGGTGTTACGTGCGTTTATAGAAATGGAAGAAAGTAGTAAGGCCACGAAAACTCGCGGTGGAGGTACCTTTAGTGATCCAGAGGCGATTCAGTTGCATGCCAATGACTTTTCTTGGCAAGAGAAAATGGAAGAGCTGAACGATGACGAACGAAAGTTAGTGCAAAGTTATATTCTTCTTTCTGAGCAAAAGTTAATGGAACTTGGTACGAAGAGCATAAGCGTCAGTCCACCAAGTGCTGAATGTAAAAACAATACATGGGATTCACATTATCAGGTCAACAAGCGCCACTTCCCATTAAAGAACTACATTATTCTTGCATTCCCCTTGATAAAGGAGATATGTTCTTCTACACCTCAAAGAGAGACTCGTTATATTCTTGAATGTGGTTGTGGAACTGGAAGTACACTTTTGCCATTGATGAGACAGTTTAGAGAAAATGTGAACTTTATAGGTTTTGATGTTTCGGAGAGGGCGGTGTCTCTTCTTTTGGACCATCCCATTTCTAATGAATTCGTTGAGGGGAAGCGTCTTACAGCTTTTACCCATGACATTTCATCTGTGCGCGAATGGTCTTCAGAAGGCCCAGAAAAAACACGTGTTAGGAAAGAATCTGGAGTGTTAAAAAGTGTCATCTCAAAACGGGTCTCAGCTTGTATTCATGGTGTTGATGTAATTCTGCTTGTGTTCGTTCTTTCTTCGTTGCCATCATTGGAGGCAATAATCTACGCTTTGAAGGAACTTGCAAGCGTTCTTAGGCCTGAAGGCGTTCTTCTTTTTCGTGACTATGCCGTTCCAGATCATAATATGTTCCGCTTTACAAAACAAGGCAACGAACGAGTCAACAATTTAAGTTTCCGTAAGGGAGATGGTACTCTGCAAATGTTTTTTGAGGCATTTTTTATAAGGAAATTATTTGCAATGGCAGGCCTTGAAGAAATTGAAGGACATGGTCTAAATTATCATTGCAACCGCATAATAAACCGAAAAAATGGCAAGAAAATGGATAAAATCTTTATAAATGGCAGTTTTCGTCTCTCTCCAAGATTGTCGTAAAGGTGGATGTTTTCACCTTTTTCAACTATTAAAGAGTTATGTTGGTGGCCTATTTAATTAATATGTTTTTCCTTGTTTTTATGTGTATATGTGTGTATGTGTGCATAATATGGCCTTATATATGAGGTTCATTGTTTCTGTTTGTCTTCTAGTTGATATTGTTGTTGATATTGTAGCATCTATCATGCAGGAAGGATGTTGTGAGGTGGTGCCACCGCCAGAAGGCAGTGAGGAGCAGCGAAGATTTGAGCTGAAGCGCTGGTACGCTGTTGCGCTTTGGTCTTGGGATATTCAAGTGGAGACATGTGCCATTTGTCGTAATCATGTAATGGATCTTTGTATTGAATGTCAGGCCAATCCAAGTCTTTCTCCAACGGCATGCAACGTTTCATGGGGAGCGTGTAATCACGCCTTTCATACTCATTGTATATCTCGTTGGTTAAAAACAAGAAATGTTTGTCCCCTGGATAATAAGGAATGGTCGTACCAGAAGCTAGGTGCGTAAAAAGTTTGAAAATGGTTATTCTTGATGTTAGACCTCCTACCTGACTTTGTTTGTTTTTCTTTTCTTCAGGTCGGGTGGGGGAAAGAAGTCACGTTTGTTTTTGTAAGCAAACAATGATTTCCTCCCTAAAAAAAAAAAAAGTTGATTTCAAGTGAGTTCTGGTGTTGTTGTGCGGATTGAAACCTCTTTTGTGAGGTATAGCTTATTATCAGTGTTCTTTTTGTCATCGACATTAGTATTTTTGATCTTATTCAATGCGTATTATTCCCCATTTTCTTTTAATGCTTAGATGAAGTTGACGCGTTTTCTGCGTGTAAACGTCCACTCAGATGCTCTTTCAAGAACAGCGGTAGGAAACCGAATAATTCAAGCATCCTTTCAACTTCATCCATCCTTTGACGTCCAATATGAGTTAGGTTCAAGAGAATTTACACTTTATTCGAATAATATTAACGATGCGTCCGTGTTGGTTCATTGTATAGTTGGTAGTTGTTCGTTGCGATCTTTGGAAGGAGGTTGTAAAAAAGGCAGTGCGAAGAAAAAATTGCTTCCCAAAACGAGATGTCAGAATCAGTCACTAAATGTTCCACCTGTAGAGTTTAGTGCGCTTGTGAATGTGACGGGGTCAGGAATTACAGTTGAAGCTTCCTGCAGTTCTATGCTTGGTTTGCTTTTGATTGATGGCGTGAGACTTCATGATGGTTCTATTAGCGAATCCTTGGTACCCAGAGAAGGGCGTGCGGTTGGTGAAATGTTGTATCAAGGACCATGGTTAAATCAAAGAGTTTTATCAGAATCAGCAATTGGCGTGAAAAGTAATGTTGGCGCATTAGACCCCTGGAGGCAGGAACAAGCCTTTTTTTTCGACAGACATGTACGGCCCTGGGTTTCGCGTTTCCTGCGTTTTGGCCACTCTCCTGTTCATACGGTAAAACCTGACTTTGCGGATGTGCTTTCCCGTTTTCTTGAGTGTTTTCATGTCGATGATGATCTTGCATACTTTGTGGAGCACTTTGCTCATGAGGTGCAAAGAAGAGAAAGAGATATGTGGACTAGACTTGTGAAGGGTATTATTAGGTGAAGCAGGAACATCTAGAGTGAAGAAATTTGCTTATGGGGAATGTGTCACGCATCTCTCTCTCTCTCTCTCTGGTTGTACGTGTTTATTTTAGTGAATCCTGCAAGCTGAGATCTGTTATTTTATTACTTCATCTTTATTATTCTTTTTCCTCTTCTTTCGATTAGAATTCTTTATCAGCAGCAGTGGACGGACGATGGACCGTTTAAAGTTAAATACCAAAGCGTTACTGGGGATGGCAACGCGTACCGTTGATCAGGATCATGGATTGCGGCATACATGTGTCAAGGTGCTTTATCACGCGGTTCTTCAATATGAAACCGCAATGTCCAAGTTTGCTACGGCTTTGTCTGCGTTATCGGATTCTTTGGAAGGCGTAGAAAATGGATATAAAAGCGTCATCTCCAACGAAAAAAATGTTTCTGTTTTTGATGCCATGAAGGAGGTAACAGGTCATTTGGAAAATTGCCGTGTAACTATTATTCCAGAGTCTATTGAGGCATTGAAGGTAGACGTTGCCCCGTCATTGTCCTCACTGAAGGAGTATTGTGATGCCTGCGAGCGTCTTCATAGTGAAAGAACCAGGGCCGTTGATTTGTATGATTATCATCGAAATGTTGTTGAAAAAAAAGAGGTCAATTATGCATCAAAGGGTAAACTTCTTGATGATTCAAAACATTATAAAGAAGAACTAACCAAACGTGATGCCGCGCATGATGCGTACCTTGCAAAGCACAATGAATACAACGAGGCGTATGATGAAATTATGTGCAAAAAATCTGAACTTACCACGCTTTCTGGAAGGCTGTTTCTTCGTGAGCTGTTGAATCTTCTGGATAATCTCAAAGGTGAGGTTTTGTGTATGTGTAATATTGTTGATAATATTCCTTTGAATCAGGTATCAGATGAACGAGGTTGTGTTCTAGTTGCTGAGGAACTAAGTTATGGGACGAATGTCATGGGTGATGCCCCGAACGGGGTGTCTACGGAAAACAACGAAGCGGACGCCGTAGTGGCGCAGGAGCCTACGGATGAGCAATTACCCGCTGCAGTTTGTGAGGAATCAAAAGACAATGGGGATAGTACTCCTGAACTAGTGGAAGGTTAGTATTGTGCGGCGTGGTGAATACATTATGACAAATAAAGATCATTATTATTATTTATTTACTATTCTTTAATTATATATATATATTTATATTTATATTTTGTTGATTCCACTACTTATTTTTTTTTTGTTTGTTTTGTTTTTCTTTTTTTCTTCTTTTTGTTTGTGTGCTATTTTTCGCGTTGCCGCTGTCTGGGATCTCATTCGCCTCCCCTAGAATTCGAGTGATGTATGACTGTATGTTTAAACGCGGGAATATCCTTTATTATTATTGTATCTGTTATTGCAGCTGAATTGTGACTTGGATTTATTCCCTGCTTGCTTGGAAGGTTGTTTAGGAAGAATTAGGATGCCCTTGTCGAAGGACCCTTTTGATGAATCCGTTAACGATGTGCGTGAACTTGTGGCGCGGGCGAAAAGCCTGCAAGAGTCAGTGAGGTCGAAGGGGATCGTTGACCGCGATGTCCTTGAGGAGGTGAGGCGTGTTTTGGATGCGGCGGATGAAGAATTGGGGCTTCTCAATAACGTTCTGCAGGTAATTGAGCAGCGCAATGGCAGGGTTGGTGACCAGGTTTTTTCGGTGAATGAAGTGCTTCGTCGTCAGGGGGTGGTTCGTGAGCTTGCAGCAGAACTAAAAGGTGTTCGCAGCTTTCGTGATTCTGTGGAGGCCCGTGTGGTAGAAACTGAGAAGGCGTTTAGTAGTGCAAGTTTTGCTGACGACCACGCCAATGACGCCTTTATGCTGCGACAGGAACAGACTCAGAGGCAGGTGCACATGGAGCAGGATCTCATTTTAGATAGGCTCTCCGTTGGTCTTCGCGAGTTAAGGGAAACGGGGGTGAACGTCAATGATGAGCTCCAACAGCAGGAAATTTTGCTGGAAGAAGCACATCAAAATGTGGAGGGCGTTCAGGCGCGGCTGCGTGTGGTTAACGCAAAGGTAGACAAACTACTGGCCAGCATGTCCAACCGAAGGAAAATATGTACGATTGTGATTCTCATCGTCGTCTTAGTGATTCTTGCTTCGGTCCTGTTCGGATGACCCACTTCTTCATATCATATTCCTCCTCCCTTTGCTTTTTTTTGTCTCGATCTCTGTGTTATTTCGTTGTGGTTCTATTGTCTAGATCTTTTTAATTTCTTACTTTTTATTTAAAGTGTGTTGGAGGATGTGAACCTTTGCAGTCGTTTTTCTTTGTGTTAGCTGCCGCCCTTGTTGTCACGGTGGACGCAGTCTCGTCCGCGCAGATGTTATTATGCCACCTGTTTCTCTGCGTTTGTGTTTCTTATATCTCGTTGGGGGGGGGGGGAGAAGG